TGGATTATCATGGAAGCCACTGCACTTTAAGGGCTCTATATTTCATCACATTATTCCTAATTTCATGTACCAAGGTGGAGATTTTTCAAGAGGTAATGGGATTGGAGGAGAGTCGATTTATGGGGCGAAATTCGCAGATGAGAACTTCGACTTGAAGCATACCGACCCTGGAATATTGTCCATAGCAAATTCTAGACCTAATACTAATGGTTCACAGTTCTTATTTGCACTGCAATGACCCCGTGGCTTGATGGAAAGCACGTTGTGTTCGGAAATATTGTTGATGGATACAGTGTTGTTGAGAAAATGGAGGTGGCTTCGGAGAGTGAGACTACTTCTGAGCTGTGATCGAAGATTGTGACCAGATAAAAGATGAGTGTTGATGTTTGAATAGTTGGGTGAAGTTTCACGTAACATGTAGTAAGTTTCACATAAAAGATGGGGGGACAATAGAAGAAAATTAAGTAATTGGTGTTGAAAGTTAAGAAATTGAAGAGATACAGATAAAATTTGATGAGTATAGAAGAAAATTAGAAGAAGAAAATGTGTTTGAAAGGTGAGAATGTGCCAAGAAAATTCAAGAAGAGAGAGAAGAATATAGTATCGTTAAGTTTCATAAACAGTGTAGTACCGTTAAGTTTCATAAACAGTTTAGTAAATTTCATAAACAATGTAGTAAGTTTCATAAACAGTGTCGTAAGTTTTCATAGACAGTGTAGTTGCTTTACAAACAGTGTCGTAAGTTTCATAAACAGTGTAGTAAGTTTAATAAATAGTGTAGTACCGTTAAGTTTCATAAACAATGTAGAAAGTTTCATAAACATTTTGTGTGAGGGAGGTGTGGATCCGCAAATCATTTTTTTTAAAACTTTTTTTAATATTAAAATTATGTATTTTTCATTAAAATTTAAGTTCTTTTGTCATTTTTATTAAAATTTAAGTCTTTTTAGTTAAATAAAGTTATAGCATGATTTTTTTATTAAAATAAACTTAGTCCAAACCCTTTTCAAGAAAGTTCCCTCTCTTATTTTACCTTCTAGCTAATTTCTCCCAAGCTCATTTTACATTAAGAAATTGACTTTTTTTTCTGCACCATTTTCTGGCATACACATTCTTCGTTTGTTTAATTGTTTTTTGGACAACTACTAGGATAATTTACATTAAATTTATCTAAACTATGGAAAGAATGGAATATGAAGGCTTTAGCTATCAGGACAATCCAAATGAAATGAATTAGATGAAATCAGGAGTGCAAATAATTTTTTTTGTATAAATCTCAATGAAAAATATGCTAGGGAAACCACATTTTGTACTACATGATGTGGCAAGTAATGTGTACATGCCACGTCAATTAATCAATCCATCTTATTAGATGTTGGTTATATGCATCATTTGTCTTATAAGATAGTACACCAAGGGTGCGTTTGTTGCACCAGACTACCTCGAACTAGACTAGCTTCAGGGACTAAGCTAGATTGGCTTAAAGTAGACTAAGATGGATTGATTTAATGAAGCGTTTGGTGCAGTATTGGACTAACAAGCAAAATAAAATATATTTTTTTCCTATTCCTTTTCATTTTTTCCAAAACACTCTTCATTTTTCCAGATTCTCGAGAACCAAAGTTCTCCATCTTCTTTTATCCTTTTTCCACTCTTTCTTGAGAACCAAAGCACTCCATCTCTCTTTATCCCTTTCCTTTTTCCAGAAAACTATCTTGAATGAATGAAAGCTCTCCTTGTTTTTCTCCTTTTTTTATTCTTGAAAAGTTATTATGCATAAATCTGTGTTTATCGATTGAAAGATATGCAGATGGTATAGAGCTTTTAACGAATTTGGTTTTGCATTTCGAGTCTAGGTTTTGCGATGGAATCTGGGTTTCGTGATTCAAATGTGGGTATTGCAATTTCAGCAAATTTGGGCTTTGTCTACCGGCTTTCGCGTATGGGTTTTGCAATTCGGATCAGAGTGAATCAGACGATGGTGAGCGTATAGAGAATATGCAACTGTTTCTTCTGCAAGATTCGAAATGAGCAGACGATGCGATTTTGGGTTGGCAAGTGTTAACGATGTTGGCGATGTGAGCAGACAAAGCGAGCAAATAGAGGAGAAGGAGGATGACAACGCAGAGAGAACGTGAGAAGACGAAGACACAATGAGGGTGCGTTTGCTTGCCCTCATTAAATGAGACTGGACTGGACTAGACTATAGTCCCATGTTTGATAGGTGCTGGGACTAAAGGGGACTCGTGTGGATTAGAGGCCTCCTTAAAGGTTCTTAGCGAGGCCCTCCACAAACCATAGGACTTGTTAAGACCGGCTTCTTCCTCCTCCTTATGAGCCCCTCTGTGAGTTCTGGGCTTCTTAATTTTGGATTTCGATGGGATTTAATTAAGATCTGCAGACTATCCCTAGCAAGCTGATTCGCTTTGCCATGGTCATCATCATCTAAAATCTCGAATCTCATATTTCCCACCACCAACATCAACCACAAAAAATCCCCCATCTCATATTTCCCAACACCAACCATCACCTGCAAAAAATCCCCAATCTCATATTTCCTGCCGCCACCACCACCATAGACGAGCCATCTGAGAAGCTCCAAAACCTCAAGTCGCTGAATTCTCTACTGGTCAAGGAAACCAAAGACTGCCAGCAGCAGGTGGAGTCGCTAGTGCAGGGCAAGGCAGATTTGGCGTCCGAGCTGAGTCGGTTCCGCCGTGGAGATTGAGTCGTTTGTGAGTGAGTTGAGTGAGTAGAGCAAGGAAAATGTTGGGTTAGAGTTGGAGAAGAGTGTTTGTGGTGTTTTTATTTTAAACCAGATGAAGCAAATGATGTGAGATAAAGTTTGAGATTGAAAGGGCGATGAGTAGAAAGATGGTGAAATTGTGAAGTTAATGAGGGAAGTAGAGCAACTTGCTGGTGGACTCGAGATCGAGAAGGGAAGCTGAGAGAGAGATTATGTGAAGAAATTAATAATAAATTAATTTCGACAATAAACTACAGTATTATTCATTATCCTACTTGTTAATCCGACATTGCACCAAACGCTTCACTAAGTTAATCCAGCTTAGTCTAGTCTAAGCCAGTCCAGCTTAGTCCTTGAAGCTAATCCAATCCGAGATAGTCATATGCAACAAATGCCCCCTGAAGGTCTTAGTAGTCACATGGTTATGGGGGGGGTCTCGCTATGACCTCTTAGTGGAGGGTTTTGTCCATGTGAGTCCTTTTAGTTTCATTAATGTTAGTCCCAACACAAAACAAACACGGTATTGGACTAACGGCTAGTCCATTTTAGTTTAGTCTTAGTTAGTGAGAGAAAACAAACGCCCACCAAGGGCACACTAACAATCATTGGACTACTTATTAGTCTAGTCACATGTTTGTTACGTGATGGGATTAAGATTAATGAAATTGAAGGAGACTCGCATTGACAAACTCCTTTGCTAGGAGATCTTAGCGAAACCCCCAAATAACAATGAGACTGCTAAGACTTCCATCCGCTTCGTTTGCTCTGTGCTCTCTTGCTTTCATCATCTCTATTGCTCGTGTCCTCTATCCAACGAAATCACACCACCAGACCACCACACTCTTTTTCTCTCTCCTTGTCCTGCTCGACTGCGGTGGTGCTTTCCTGGGTGAGCAAAACAAGATTGCCATTCACCAAAAACTGGACGCCAACGCTGATCCGCTCGTTCACGCTCGACCAAACAGTCTGCGTCGTTTGTTGCATCGTCTGCAACTCCAACATCTGCATCGTCTGCAACTTAGGTTCAGCAGCGGCGCTGCAATCACTCTCGCCAAATCACGACCCATCCATTTCGTTCCATAATCATCTACACTTTCCTTCATGAATCGATCAACAAGTCTTTCAGGTGCTACTTAAGGTTCATCGGGTTGTGCCCAGTTCCCGAATTCAAAAAGGAAGAGAAAAAGAAAAGTAAAGAAGAGAAAGGAACCATAAGCCTTTGGAAAGGAAAAGAAGAGAAAAGAAAAGGGAAAAGAAAGAGAAAATGAAAGGAAATGTAGAGAGAGGGCAGAGAGAGAATTAAAAATATGTCAAAAAAATATCTAGATCCTAAAAATAATTTAATCTATGATTTGGTTTAATACTGCACCAAACGCTGCATTATTCTTATAATAGTTAGTCAATGCCAAACCAATCTAACATACTCTTTTAAGCTAGTTTAGTCCAAAAGAATCTGGTGCAACAAACGCACCCCAATTGTGATCTCCCTTAGTGTTACTCAAAATGAATGAGAATTGCTAGTCAAAACTCAGGTTAAATTCTACTTTATTGAGACCAAGATTCATGCCTTCCTGGGCTCAAATAAACTTTGGCAAATTGGTGGGGGTAGTCTAGGCATCTCCATCGTTTATCATTATGAATAACCTGCCGATTTCCTCCCTGAACTTTCACTTAACTTTCGATTTCTCTCCTAAAGTTTTCAATTGGAAAATTAAGGACTCAAACTAATTTTTTTGGCCGATATACCCTTGCTGTTAGTTTTTCATTCATTCCATCCAAATTTCTATTCAATGGAAGCATGTGCACAACATGCGAGGGTAGTTCGGTTGCTTCGTTTTTTAAAATAATTGAAAACCTTTGATTTCTAAAATGTTGACCTATGCAAATTTGTGTGATTCTATAGCTTTTGTGTTTGAAGGTATAGTGAAGTGAAGCTTTTGTCCTCAAAGGAGAGTCACATGATGTGCACGTGATAAGAGTTAACATTAATTTGGATGAAATCTATGGAAAACTAACAGTAGGGGGGATATCGGCAAAAAAAAAAAAAGTTTAAGTCTTTGATTTTCCAATTAAAAAGTTTAGAAGGGAAATCGAAAGCTATGTGAAAATTTAGGAGGCAAATCGACGGTTTTCTCTACCATTATTAGCAAAATTCAAGCCTTCGTTCACTTTCATTGGAGAACATATAAGATACACAAGAAATTAAATATATATAGCACTACAAGATATGGTGGATACAAAAATTTGATTACGTTTAAAGTTCCTCATGATTTTCTGTTTTCAGAAACTTCTTTAGCCACTCCGCTGAGTCTTTCGGATGTCTTTTTAGCCCATTTTGGAAGTCGATATAGTTAATTCCGAATTTAACCGTGTATCCGTTTTTAAAGTATCCCATCACGTTAACACCGTCTTTGCTCAAAAACCGAATCAAATACAATTGGATTAGTGAAATTATTGATCAAATGAGTGAGAAGAAGTCCTGCTTTCATTAGGCTATGCACTTAGCTACTGACTCGATCGCTTTATGAATATAATAAATATGACGATCAAGGTAGTCGATTCTTTTCTTATTAGCAGGGGATTCCTCGATAGGTATGTTGGGATCATTGGGGTCGTCATATCCTACAACATGCAAATGTAAATTGTGTAATACTGATTAGGATACATAGTATGTTTTACAAATGAGATGGCCCTAAAAATATTGAAATGTACATATGTTGATGTTGTTAGAATATGAGTATGATTCACACGGTTTAGTTATTTCAGATTAGTGTAAAGTAATAAAGTCTCAGTTTGTTTAAGAGTGAATCTAGTTTTGTTTTGGATTAGAACTCTGTTTGGGACTTGAGTGAATCCAGTTTTGTTTTGGATTAGAACTCTGTTAGGGACTTGAGTTTAGTACTCATGATTGTACAAGGATTTAGTTTCATATTCCTTGTAGGAGTGTTATAGGTGATCCGAAATTTGTAGTATAACACCACAAACCCCTGCTCTCACAAAGGCACGCTCTTATTGTTCCAATTACCTATAACTTGGAGAGCATAGAGTTTTGCAGAGAGGAGAAGGTTGTGTGCAGGTTTTCATGGCTTCTTATCCATGAACGTGTCTGCAGGTATGTGTTGGTATAATTGCTGCAATTCTTGCACTTATATTACATACATAATTTAAGGATTGTGATTTAGTTGATTAATCCTTGTGTTCTTGGCTAGTGTATTAATCTTTTAAGTCTAGTTTAATCTTACAGATGTTTGATGCTATAACATACCATTTTCTGTGATGTAAATAAGTGGATTATCATACTTTCTCTTTGTGTAAAGCAATAAATCTCGAATTCCTCTCGGGTAAACATGGAGCCAATCAGAAGCACCCTATCAAAGCATAAAAAACTCATGACATGAACGTTAGTCTAATGAATACTTCTCTTTGAAATAGTTTAAAAGTATGAACTGTAGTGGATTTATATCCAACAAGTAAAAAAATACATACGTACCAGTGGACCGATAGGTACACCATTATACTCGACTGCCACAACATCATGTTTCAAAACCCAGTAAGTATATATATATATAGAGAGAGAGTAGTTCAAGAAGAAAACGTCATTGGTATTTCTGCTCACCCGATTGATTAACGAGAGCGTCTGTCTTGTAGTTTGGTTTTGCATCATTTTGCCGAGGAACATTGGCTGCATAAGTTCCTGAATAATAAGTTAGTCCAACAAAATGAAACGAACCTTTTAGCATCGTGGATTGCTCTTTAGTGAAATTTGGCAATCGATTTCCGACAAGAGCTTGCATGCTGTGTGGATTATGACCTTTCACCAAGGGATCCATAAACCTAAAAATTAAATCAAAGATTCCAAATATTACTTTTAATTAGAACACAAATATGAGATAGATTAATCAAAACAAATACACACACACACATATATATATATATATATATATATGCAGGGCCGGCCCTAAGGGTAGCCTAAGTAGGCGCCCGCCTAGGACCCCCACTTCGGAAGGGCCCCAAAAAAAATTTATATCATGCAATTAACATATAAATACAAAAAACAAGTAAGAAATATCATAATTCATTTGTTAGTGCAGTGAAAATGTTGGCTTCATTTTTCTTTGGGGTGTTGAGTTTGAAACATGAAATTGCCCTTCAGTCACTAGATTTTTCTTAATTTTTCTTTTTTCAAATTTACTACCAATCTATCTGTCCAACTCCCAATCCATTTGTCCAAATGCATATAAAGTTATAAAACTCAAGTCTCTTTGCAATCTTTTTTCTTTCAACTTCTCATTCTCTCAATTTCGATCAAATGTTTAAACCAACTTCCTATTCTCTCAATTTCTATTGATTGTTTAAACCAACTATCATATGGTCTTAAAGATTGTACTTTAAGGTAATCAAAACTTTGAATTTTATATTTTTCCTTTCAATAACTTTTTATTCAATGGATTATTTTAATATTCAATTCGTTAGTGTGATGTTGATTTTAGAAGAAAAAAAACACAAGAAAAACAATTGGCATTGAATTTATTATACTCGTCAATCAAGTTTTATTGTTATTTACTCTCGTGATCATCAAGTTTTATTGTTCTTCACTCTCAATCTTAAACTCTTGACTGCAAACATTTAGTACATTTGTGTCTAAAAATGTGAATCGTGTAATGTTTAAATAATGTTTGTATATTTATCTTCTTTTGATATTAAGTTTTAGTGATATTTGATGTGAAAATAGAACTTTTTATGTATTTAACGAATTTTTTTATACAAATTAATATACAAAGAACCGGAGATCAAAGAATTTTAAGACCCCACTTCGAAGGCTCGCCTAGGGCCCCAAGTTCTCAGGGCCGGCCCTATATGTATGCACACATACCATCCATATGAAAAATCCAATGCTCCTGTAGCTGCATCTTTTTCGTTCCTGTCTTCAGAAACTGGCACATACCAATCCGAGTTCAATGTTATCCCTATCACCCCCTTTTGCATTTCCAGTGCAATATGCATCAACGTTTGATTACTATTTGAATATTACTAAACAAAAAATACGTATAATTAGTGGTGGTAACTCAAAAACTGCAGGTGCATGCAAGACCTGATATTTTTCTCTATATAACTTTACAGCTGCTGCATGAGCTAGAAGTTGTTGGTGTGTCACCAAATATGGTTCAGTTCCGGAATCTCCACTGAGGCAATTTAAGTTTAGCCAGTCAGAACATCGGCCTGGTGCATACTTCCCGCTTGCATAACCATTCTTGCTGACGCTTAATGGCTCGTTTAATGTGATCCAATGTTTAACTTTGTCACCAAATTCTCTAAAGCAGAGCTCTGCATAGTCCTGAAAACCATCCATGTAGTATTACACAAGAAAATCAGAAAAAAAATGAAATCAAAATGTAGAACTTAAATCCTACTGAAAAATTCATATACAATTTTCACTTACACAACTTTAGGACTTAAGAAACCACTGTAATCATCCTCCAAACCTTGAGGAAAATCCCAATGGAAGATTGTGACAAAGGGCTTTAGACCTGCAATATTCAACAATTCATATATAGCAAAATTAAAACATACATTTATTAATTTAAGCCTTTTTTTTGTTGAACAATACTTGACTACTCAAAGATGAGTAGGAACTCTTACTCAAAACTCTTAGTGTTTTAATCACAGAGCTTTGTGCTTATGATCAGAACCCTTCATACTATGAATCACATTGTAAAGATCATCTTTGCAAAAAATAAAATAAAAATAAAACTAAGATTGTTTAGTCAATCTATTATAGCAAATATATAGACGGTTTCTAATGCTTTTACCAATTTCATTAATTTGTTTTTTAAACAGTTTGATGACTAAACGACCTTAGTTTTAATTGATTTTTTTGCATAGGTGAACTTTATAGGATGATTTATAATATGAACGGTTCTAATTATAAACAAGAAGTTTTATAAATTGACAACAAACAATTTTGAGAAATTTTGAGTAGGAGTTCCTACTCATCTTTGAGTAGCCAAGTATTATTCTTTTTTGTTCATAGGAGATGCATTACCATTGGCTAAAAGTTCGTCGATGAGGTTCTTGTAATATTTGATTCCTTCGTAGTTCACACCCCCGCTTAGCTTTCCATCTGATCGAATACAATACAAATTAATTTCAGATAGAAAAAGAGTTAGACAACAATTATAACAATAAAAGGAAGTAAATCTCCTACTTTCTTGATTGTAAATGCAGTAAGTATATAGATGGTCTAACTTGGTAACAATCTAGACCATGAGATCCAGAATCTGTAAGCATCATGGCCAATGTCCTTCATAATTTCAACATCTTCCTGTAACAAAAGAATATAATTAATTAGGAACCCGATCAGAATATATGGCATAATATTTGCAAGAAAGCATATATTTATGTACCTTATAGCGATGATATTCATCAACAGCCACATCTCCAATGCTACGGTCAGTTATCTTCTCTAATTTTTTTTTCATCAAAATATGCCGAATTTTAGTACTAGGATCCAAACTAACACGCAAAAAATGTATCTTCTCTCTCAGTTTTTTTTTTAATTACCTGATAATTTTTATATGAATTGATCAGACACGAACAGAACAGAAGAGAGACCTGGATGGTTGTGCATGTATGTATCCCATAT